AATATATACAGGTGTTCCGCGTAACTGGTTCGTTAGAACTTTTTTAGGTTCAACTATTTGTACAGCTTTGAAATTTTCATTCGAAACTTTCGATCTAAAGTATACTAATACTTTCAAGATGGCCGCCGGAAGTAGACCGCAACAGTAGTAAATTAGCGAAGCTGCTACACTGTGATTTCTATACTGACTCCTGAAAGTATCAGAAAAACAAATATTTTTCCATGTAAAGATTTTTCAGTACTTTTCTGGTTTATAGAAAAAAAAACTTTCTATACTCTCTGATTTTGATTCGCAACCTGTGTCTTCCGTACATTCTGTTTTAGTCGTCATATCAGTCGTGAAAATGCGTCGAAAATACTTGGATGAAGTCGTCAGCCTCTCATCAATATTTAGACGAGTACGATTATTAATGAAACAAGTTTGCAAATGTTATAATACACTACTTTGTGGTCTCTTTTATGCAGCTTTGCAGATGTAGTGGCCGACTACGTCTACTATATCTGTTAAATTGTTAAGCATAAAATGTCATTGAGACTCTAAGAGGTAATGTTAATTGTCTATACGTCGATGGTTGCTCACACCAAAGGATCGATACTATTAGTAAATATTGGGAGATGTTCTATGAATTATGGTTACCTATCGCCGATTTTCTAATGTTCCAAGAACTGCCTGGTCTTTTAATACTGCGTTGCACACAAGTTCTTCTACTTCCTATAATCGTAATTGGCTTTACTTTGCAAGAGAAACCCCTCAAAATTGTTGGCAGAAATTGATGACACAAATTGGCATATTTCTGGACTATTAATGTATCTCCCATAAATGATACTGATTGTTCCATTTCGATCTCAGACATGTTGAAAAGCTGCATAAGTGTATTAGTAGTATATTACGATATTGAGACTCTTTTGCTTCACTCATAATTTTGAAAACTGCTACGAGTTCTGAAATATTGAAATTTTCAAACAGAAATAAATTTGGTGCTTTTTGGATTCCACAAGTAATGTTAAATATTTCTATACACTTTTATGAAATAGACCAGAGAACATCCGTCTAATTCTACCTTCATTTATCTCTAATCACAAGTCTTTTAAAACTTTACTTAAGACGTATTTCGCTCTCCAAGAAGAGTTTCATTATAGTTCATCAATCTTTCTTCTATTGTGCAATATTATATAACACAATTCAATTTCTAATAAGTTTTTGTGGGTTGGGTTTTTATTTGCTCAGAGTTGTAGAGAACATTTCTCCACTGCGGTAGTATCAACACGAGTTCTTTTTTATTCACTACCAGCAAATGCAGACATAACCTTTTATGAGATTGGTTTTAGAAGTATGAATCATCCTGCTCAAACATTAAATTTGTATTAATAGTAACTTACGAGAAAAGCAACCTTCTAAAACTTTAGGACATCTGTATTTAGGCCGTTTTAGAAATTTATATTTAGATTTAAGGCGTATTGTATTGTCCATTTTTATTTCCATTCATACTTTTAGAACTTTACAGAAAATGATTGAAATTGATTTTTGTTACTAAACCCTTTACGCTTTATTACTATTTATTCAGCACTTCAACCTAACTGTTTGAATTAACGTAGTAATTGAAAAATCTGATAACCCGAACTATTATCATTTTTTTAGCTAATACCTCATAAGTACTTGATATTTTCGATGGTTCATCTCACTTATTCAATTGAAAATGTTTGCAGATCACCTTATCGTGCTAAAGTATACGGTCGGCAATGTTCAAAAAAACTTATCGTGGATTAGCAAACAAGTCAATATTTGCTATAAACATTATGATGGGATCGATGATCGTTTTATTCTCGTCGCCGAGGCTTGTTCGTTCGCGTTTTATACCAAGTGCCAGTCCGTATATGGTATTTACCCGACGGGTAAACAGGTATCCGCCGGTGGTGGCGAATGGAGCGTACATCAAAAAAGAATCTCGTACCTAGAGAGAGAAAGAGACCTGAATGGGTAAACACGCTAATGCGTTCGCAAATATTTACGGTCGCGCGCGTTTGATGGGGTTTTCCGGTCTTGCTTTTCTTTAATCAAGAACAAGAATGACCGTTTATTCAAGTCCCTTTACTTTTATTTCAACGGATTATTTGTATTAGTATTGTCGTAAATGCGGGGGAAGTTAAAGAAAGGAAATAAAAAAACGAGTATAACTTTCATAATATGTGATTAAGATTATTTTCTTAATGTAATAAATAAATTACCGTTAAAAACACAGTTATAATTGATTTTTAATACGCACATCAGTAATCAAAAACATTTAATTAACTTGTGTACACTGTAATATTGAACCTCTATAAAAACTAATTCCTCAATTATCTTTTTATTTAATGTTAGTTAAGAAACACAAATAAAATAATTAATTAAGGAGCATCTTTAGTAATTCAAGATATAAATCTGTTTATAAAGTCCGATATAATAACAAAATATTAATTATATTACGAAAGATGGACTTAAACGCAATTTTCTTTCGAAAACTTTAATTAGTAGTACATGCAAAACCCCGATTCTATTAGATTGCAAGTAGCTTGCTTTGTAAGGAAGCTCGGGTCAGGTAACGACTAATGAGGTTTAAGGTATACCATTTACCTCAACTGTCTAAACTTTCCGGTAACAGTTAAGATAGTTTAATGGAATTTAATTTCCGTCAGTTTCTGCCGTCTTTAATTCGGGAATAAACGTGGAATAATATAACGACGACTACAAAGAGTCGCTTAGACTTGAAAATAAGAGCAGCACAACGTCCCTTAGAACACTTTGGGTGCTTTCGTATGCTTCAGGAAAAAGCCAACCACTACGACGACGGATCCCCATTCATTCATTCCTTTTGCAATTCCCTAGAAGTGCTACGAAACGATTTTTCTTGGTCCCTCCCCTATTTGAATGCGTTCGCAGGCCATTTAGCATTTCTCGGTACTTCTCAGAGTTTATTTACATCTGGCCGCACTGGTTTACGGCTAGTCTACGGACTTTAGAGACAAAATAGACGCGCCGCGGAGGACTCCGTAACTCAAAGCAAACCAATTTCGCGATCTTCCTGGCATTCTGCCGGCTGAAAAATTAACAGAACGCGAAACGTCCTTTTACAGGACGGAAGCCTTTATCTCTCTTTCCACTTCATACCAAATAAGGAATACCGGCTAAGTACTATCCGATAAATAATGCCATCGTAAAGGCGGTTAAGTGCTGGAAAATAAATGTGGATACCGCAGCTGGATACTGAGGAAATTAGATTCTCATACGTGTACTGTCCTTCTTTCAAGATATTTTCTGGTAAATGTTATATTTGACAAAAAACTAATGTAATTGAAATCTAAATGATTACGACAATTTCTTCTGTCATACTTTGCAATCTACAATTTTACTTTATTTCTCGCGATTGTCTATAATTTCAATTTATTAGATCTTTTTCAGCAATTTCTAACTTAAATTACCTTATTATGTTTTCCCTTTTTAACCGCAATTTATGATAAAGCAATTTCATCTTCTGATTGCAATAGCTTTTACTTACTTTTACTTTGCGGGAAGCGTTATGATATTTAATTCTTCTCTAAGACTATCTTGTTTAACAAAACTTGTTTTGTACAAAAAGGAATGAAAGTGGGAGATTGGATCAGTTTTCAAATTTATAGCAATATACAAATAATGATCTCTTGTAAATTATCGTAGCATATTAATGTTATCATTATACTATTCATAATACCATCTTTTACAGTTCATAGGGTAAAATCAACACAAATCCATTAACATTAACCTAATGGTATAAACGAACTTTCCTTCCTTTGCTCGATAATCAGTAGACATAGGACGAATGTACATTTCATCACTTCAACATGACTTCAATGAACATCTTTATTGGATTCCAAATCAATTTCTGCTTAACATTAATTTCACACGCTAAATGATGTTAAACATGGCGTTAGTTTGCTTGATAAACTTGATTTGGTGTAATTTTAAATTAAAAATGTGACTTATAAATCTCTTATAGTATTGTTAACTATTATTTGAATATAAGCTCACCAATAGGTAAGAAATTACCTTAAAAACAAACTGTTGCGTCTTATTATGTCAAATATGTGTTTATTGATTCACATCGAGTTAATTTTTCAAAATGATACCAATTTCACCAAGATATCTGTTACTTTTCGGAATGATATACAGACAAAAGCAGAAATGTTGCAGATGAACTGTTTATTGTACTATACCAAAGTTCTCTTTAAAAATTAATATTTTTGAGATAAACATACGAAATTGACGCTGATTGATGGATACTAATATAACTACATACATATATTTGAAAGCTATGATTGTTTTCTATTTTGAATTCTATTTCTACTCGATTTAAATTTTTATATTTTTTTTATGAACGCATAACATTTTTATGTGACATTGTATAAATTTAAATAACCATCCCACGAATTTGTAATTGTAGCAATAAAATAGTAATAAAATCGTTTTTGGCTTCAACTGCAAGAATGAATATTCAAAATAATATTGTTCTATATTTTTAGTTTGACATGACATACGCTCGAGCATAAATGTTTAGAATACACCAATAAAATCGTCGGTTTAGTATATACTGCGATTTAAAATGTTATTTTTTAGTTAACAATAAAATGATAAAAATACCTACTATAAATTTTCCTAAAATAATTACTTAAAAAATAATCTACAAAAAGAATTATAAAGAACATTACAACTTTGTTTTTGTAATTTAAACTTAGGGAAGATTTGGCGTTTGATCGCTGCAAACCCTTGTGTACTTAGTACTGACAAGATCCCGATTCTCCCCAATTTAACTAATGGATCTTAAGCGAAACCGTCTCCACCTTACTCCACCGTCGGCGTCGTAGCGCCTTTGACATTATTTATGCTCCCTTACGTTGGGCTGACTGTCACCTCTGCCACCTCTTAGCAATATTTTTCACCCGAATTTAGAAAACACCCTCTAATACCTCCGTCTTCTTGTCGTTTTACAGTGTCAGCCGTCGTCGTCGCCGCCTCTGAGGACGAATTATATTTCTCCAAGCATCCCGAGGACCACGAAGTTGTCTCAGGAAGATCTGTCACCTTATTTTGTGAGACAAAACCTACTGAAGGCATTTCGTACTATTGGGAATTGAATGGTAAGATTTTATTTTACTTTATCTTTTTTTTTAGACATTCGTTTTCTTTTATTAGTAAACGAAAAGGTGATAAAAGTAATCTGATGGTGGACGTAAGTGTAATTTGAGTCGTTTTGAGTACTTTATTTTTTGCAGTTATGCGAGAATGATTTAAACCGTCTCGTCTAGCCCGTAATCAAGATATCACACAGTAAATCCCCACTTCAGTGATTAAAAAGGGAAGATTCGTCGTGTGCTAGTAGGCAATTTATTATCCCTATGTCCAATTAATTTGGAAAGCGAGCGTAGAGTATTGATTCTTGCCGCTATACCCTTCCTCAACACGGCAAACGAACGTTTCTATTTAACTGTACGAATACGATTTGCGATTTTCCTAAACGCGTAAATGTTCTTTACCCTCATTAAACTTTCTGCAAATATACTTGTTACGATATACATTGCAACGTCGGCAAGCCGTGGAACTTACGCATTACGTCGACGTATCCCCAAATTAATGGTTTGTCTCGCTTTGCGAAAGGCCCACCACTACGGTCGGAAGCCAAACACCACCAACATTGAAGGAGAAATTGAATACACGGACTTTCGTGCATAACGATCGTCGACGTGCAGCCTTTTTGAATATATTACCCTGCCCCACTAGGGGGTAACAAACCCATAAACTACCAGTTCCGATCCGTTCACAAGTCGTATCTCATTTCGCCATCGTTTGTATGTGTGGCTAGAATAGTTTCGGCCACCCTGGTTTGTTTGATCAATGTCTCTTGATAGTGTCGTTAACTTCCATTATTTGCTGATTTAGTTTATATACAAATCTATGTAGATTTAGTTACAAATTTGTCGTATTACAAATACAGATTTAAATAAATAAAAAATTTTTCTTTTTTTTTTATCTTCGAAAAAGTAATCATCACAAAAGACTAAAAACCGGTTCTCACGATGAGAAAAAAAGGTCAATTTAAAGTTTCGTAATAAGGATAATGAATTGTTTCTTATCATGATCGAAGCTTTGAGAGTACTAAAGAAAAAGTTCCGAAAAGGAAAAAGGTAATAAAATGTATTCATTAAAATTCATTAGTTCACCATTCAATGCTATTTATAGAAAAAATTCGTAGAATTTTAGAAACGATGTATTTTTGGATTTAATAATGAGATGTCACACGTAGAAATTAATGAAAATAAGGATATGTGGCCCACAACTGAGAAAGCTAAACCATCAATCAATTCTATACGGAATATAAGAAAACCATTAATTTTCTAAATGAAAGCTTCTGTTAGTAGTATTCAAATATTTATTATAACGAAAATATAAATTTCTTAATAATATCTCTTATTCCTCAGTTATCAGAATAAAAAGGTAATTCTTATTGAAGCTGAAGTATGTTTAACTAAATTTACACAATTTTTATGATTATAAAGTGAATTATAGGTACTTTATTTAAAGTTAAGAATGAATTTGTTTTTTTTCTACCAATTCATCACTAGCACCAGTAGCAATGGACGTAGTTGTAGATCATTGGCCAAAGATTTTTTCCAGATAACATAACGTCAAATAACTTCCACATGTAATATAGCCATTCTGCCAATTTGATACCTAGCAGAAGATTGCTTGAATTCCATATGATACATAAACTCATTGTCTAGTAGCCCAAGTAGCTTTCCACAACGCTGTAATACATTGCACCGGTAAATATGTTTGGTAGAAGTATTAGCCCAATTGACAACCAACATACATTGTAATAATAAAATGGAAAAAATTGGAAGATATGCTTGATGGCGCTGAATATGCAATCTAAACAAGTATTGTTCTTTCAAAATCTTCATCACAGTTCAATCGGAAGCACCTGATCGTTCTCTACCACATTCAAGGCATTTTTCCAAGAGTGGAGCTTGCGACTGTGTTCGATCTTCATAATCGTTCAGTTGATTGAAATATGTTTTTCAATCAGGAAGATGACGGTGTAACCTCTAATAGCTCTCGGATAAACTGGCCAACGAGGTAGTGAGGACGTCCTTTATTAGACTCCAACCCTGCTGTGGTTGTGGACTATAAAATCTACTTAAAACAGGTAATTAGTACATGGGAGGACTCAAAGGTAGCCTTGCGCTGGAAAGAACTTCCAGGACACACACAAGTATGATAACTCCGTCGTAAAAGAAAATCAAAGAGATTTTATGCCTCAGTAAAGGTCGCTCTCAAGTTTTCTGATTGACCATATGTCCCTAAAATATCATCTATTCAACATTGAACAAGCTGATAATCAAACTTGTCGACTTTGCATCGACCTCATTCTGTGCATTGATAATCACTGTATGGAAGATATGGAAGAGCACTCAACAGTGTCCGCTCCCATTTAGTACATTCCTTGCACATTTTGAACAACTTAAATAAAGCCTTCTCCAATTAACTCAAAATGATCGCTAGTCTTGTTGGATCAATTTGCAAAAGTCTGCAAACATAAGAAATTAGCGTTAAAACAGGCAGAATTGAGAACCAACCAAATCAGACGGAAATATAAATTTTATAATGGGAATATAGATGCTACTAGAACCTAAAATAGTTTTCAACTTTACAATAACGTCAATGAAATAATCCAATAATTACAGCTTTTTAAAGGATTTAAACCTTATAATTTGATTTGTAAAAATGTGTTGTTTGTACAGCATAGCATGAAGATGATTGATCAGAAATGATCAACTGATGGATGCTTCCAACTGTATAAGAATAGTTTATCTTCCAACAAGATGGATACTTGGATAATGTAGTTGGATAGGTTAGTACTTATTCTAAGATTATCGGATGGAATTATAATGATGTAAGTAGAAAGCTCCGACACATGCAGAACTTAAGTAACAAACATCACCATACGGTAAACACCTGTTTGGTGTTGTTGAAATGAGAAAGTCACGAGAACAAATACATTTACATTTTAGAGTGTAAAAATTTTCAATTTTGCGTTTATTGAGTTTTTTCTAGTTTAATACAAAATGATAAAACAAAATTCATTCTAGTTCCATCAAGTTTTTCATGCAATATATTGTTTTTTTTTTTTAATATTGCGGTTCTTCAACCGTAACAAATATAGACCACGAGCAGATCCTGCTCTGGTAGTAATTAAAAACAACGGCATGTCATTTTTTCTCTTTGTATGTACATACCTGATCTCCATCCTTCTCTTTAGATCGAGTGAGCGCGGGAGTGTCGGAAATCGTCCTTGTCTCCTTTGAAACAATATTCTTCTGTCGGACGACCCATTAATTTACTTTATTTTCCGCGGGGGTGCCTTTGATGTCGACTCTCAGCGATCGTGTTGCGGCTCTGTTCCTTGCAGACGGCAACAGCACGACGATGACCTCTTCCGTTGCTCGTTTTGTGTCATTCGCGAAAATACACGCGGGCGGTTCTACTCTTACACACACGGCAATTTCTTGGCGATTTGTTCCGCCCTCGTTATATTATTAATTCTAGGTAATACCTTTTTATTGTATTATCCCTCATGTTCCTGTTATCTAGACTTTTGTTTCTTCGTATTATTAATTGGACCCAATTAGAACTCACTTAAGAATACAATACTTTACTACATCATTATTTTACTTAATTAAATCTAACACCTTAACGAAGTGACTTAAAGTATTCTCCTTGTTAAAAAGATAACGTACCTAAGTGGAAACACTGTTACTATATCTTAAAAGGGATGATAAGGTTCTGGCTTCTTGTGTAGAAAGGGTGGTGTAATGGCGGTTATAAAGCGCGGCGCTTTTATTCTCTTTTCCATTAACTGCTCCTTCGTCGGAAAGGCGGCTTCAACAACGTTAGAAGCGGACATATGCCTTTACGACTCGGCTTTATGGCATTTCTGGGGAATATTGCAGCTCGCTGCAGCAGCCGAAATAACGAAAAACGAAATGACTTCATGCTCTGTGTGACTGTGTCTGTGACTCTGTGTGTGGTGGTGTCATTTTTTTGCTGGGTTTAACTGAAAGCCGTTTCGTTTGTTCGCTATGACAGTAGTTGCAATTGAATTAGACTGTTACAATAGCTCGAAATGAAAAGCTCTTTGAGAATGATCCTTAACTCAGTTTGTTGTTAATTTTTAATTATTTTAATTTATTAGCTTCACAAATTTTAGGTAATTAGCGTTGAATAACAACTAAAACTAGAGCTAACACTAACACTAGAACTAACACTGGATCTAGAACTTGAAACTTTTTGGGCTAAACCCGAATGTTTCTAGTTCTAGTGTTAGTTCTACTTTTCATTCATTCAAAACATACAGCAATCTAGCGTTGAATAACAACTAAAACTAACAATCACTTTTGAATCATTTCATAATAATTCATTAAAAGTTATCTATTTAAGATACATATGTGTATGGTCTTGTAAATAGAACTTGTGGTGGTAGGGGTAAAGAGAGTGTATGCAGTAATAGCCAGCGGCCACGCACATAATTGACATCACAACCGCAACTCGTGACCGCAACATAATCTGGATGATTGATTTCTGCAACGTCCAGCCATCAGGTTACCAAATGAACAGTTTACGTCACTTGCCGTGCGGTTGATTTGACTAACTGCTACTTCGGGCTGTTTGTTACAGGTTCCAAAATTGCGAACACGACTCGACGTCACCAACAGGGTTCGAACCTGCACATAACTCGCGTCGACAGGGAACGGGATTCGGGCCAATTTCGATGTAATGCTCAAGGACCATCTGGAGTTTCCACCACCAGCAATCCGGCCAAATTGAACATACACTGTAAGTAAACTTTGTGAAAATTTGTTTTTCAAAAAACTTTGACAAGACTACTTTGAATTCGTCAATGGTCTTTTCCCACGTCTTGAATAGCTGGGTAAAATACGACATCAGCATCTGCTTTTGTTCGCTTTTTTCTCGCCCCGGTTGCGGTCCTATTTTTTGACTCCGCATACGAACAATGGACGTCTGTAGAGGCGCTGTCCGCTAAAACAAACGCGCCCGCCGGAAAACAATCGAACGTCGATTGCCTCCCGGGATCCGACCTTCGAACAAAAAAAATTCTATTGAACATCGACAAAAAAAAAGACATCAATTCGATTCGTCTACTTTTTGCCCGCCCTTCTGTTTTTTCGCGACCTTTTCATCGGTGGACGCTTTTTATGAATTGATAAATATCTTCCGTAATTGCAAGGAGTGCAAATATCCAGGATTGGCTCGACGTTCCTATTCACTAGAATCATTTTAATTAAAAAGTGTGATTGGATTTTTTACTACAACTCAAACATCAATTATGCGTCTCCCCGACTTTTAGCAGAAACCAACATTATTGGCAGCTACACCATTATTTGGTATCAAGTATGAGCCAATACTGGGAAGAACTGTTATTTTATATGCCTATAAATCACGTTTTGTCGGCATCGCCGTACAAAGAGCACGTTTGCGACGAAGCCCGTGCAGAGAACTCCGGTAGAGCAATATGCCGCTGCGATTACAGGTACTAAAACCGTACCGCACCGTTACAAATCTGATTCCGTCCGTAACCAGCGAACTCGGCCCACAAATATATCGTAAAACCGGGAAAGTATGCGTAATTAGAAACCATAAACTTGGCGAGACGGAATAAAGCGTCTTGAAAACTGGCAGGAACCCAAATTGGAAGGCATCTTTCAAACTGGGGGTTGCTACTGACTACATAAAGTAATTGCTATCTTAAATTTACTCAATCCAACTAAAAATTTTATATCTATGTATGTTATTAGGATTTTTTGTTTGTACATAAAGATCGATGCTATTTAATTTTCTAAGGGTGTACCTACGTAATAGATATGCTAACTATAGCATATCTAATACATATTAATATATCGAGCGACACCAGAACTATGTTATTATTCCGTTCATGTTTCAACCCATTTACATATATTAATATCTTTTGGTAATAACACAAATTTCTTTATTTAGTTATATTATTTGATTACCAATTTTAGGACTAATTCTTGTATTACATTTAAGAGTTTGTTAGAAAGATAGGATTTATTTATTAGTAAATAAGAAGATTTCAAAATGCAACAAATAACAGAATGGTGAACACTGTTAGTGATAAATATTTATGTTTACTTATCCGCATCATATTAATAATAAAAGGCAACTAAAAAATGAGTTATATTTTCGTGCCAGTTGTCATCTTTTATGAATTCCTTCGGTCTTTGAAATATTTAATTATTGCGTGTCTTGACTGAAGTCACGTTAATAAAACGTTCTGGTTTACGTCGTCGTCGTCGGTCGAGTTGGCTGGCGGAAAAGAGCACCACTGTTCTGAACTGAGATACGACAAGATCTCTCGCGGTAGGTCGAAGACCCCTTTGAAACCCGCAGACTTCTCGGAGATAGGCTCCTGCACTCTGAGGACGATGAATCGTACCCAGAGGCACCTTCTCTCGACTCTCCAGTTTTAAAAAGTGCCTTTTAACGAAACGTGTATTCCAATTGTAAAAGATACTCCTCCAGTACATGTGAATGTGATGTTTTTGTGTCTGGAGGAATTATAGATGTAAATAATATTGTTAAAAGATGGAGAAGATGAAAGGATAATGTTAATTTATTAGATAATATAGACTTATCGTAACTTCTCTCCCCTTTTATGGGATCACGATATCTAAACAAACGTGCCGCTATTTATAAGGGAGTGGAATAGAAGGGAACGAACAATCTTTAATGCCACCTAAACTTTTATATTCTTTCAAACGGTGCTTTGAAAGCTGTATAAATGTTTCGCCACACCTTTATATCTCCATTTATTTGCACGATTTTACAGACAAATATTGATCACCATTTTTATTAAGGTAAATTTAATAGACAGGTTTTGTTTATGTAATTCTTCGCAGTTTATGGTACACATAAAAGAATATATATGTTTAAACTTTATTTTACATTGTTGTCGTGCACAAAATATTCTGATCGAACGTGGTCGCGATATCGATAGGCTTTAGTCGAGTAAACGTTCGTTTATAAATAAATGTTTACGCTATATCGACATCCCGTTATCGAACACGTTGGATCAAGACTGGATTAAGTCCCTGGCGGTGAAACGTTCACGCATTTCCTCATTTGGAAACTCTATACCTTTACAATCTATAAAATTAGATTAAAACCATATGTGACCAGAACATGGAGTACACAAGAAAAGTATCCTTCTTAATTTGTTGATAAAAAATGTATTCTATACAAAGTCACCATATCTGTTTATACAATCATACATTTATTACAAGAATGATATATGTTCACTTATTTCTTTTGTAGACAATAATGAAAATCTTAAAATATCATAGTTATGTATTAACAACTTATACATAGTATTTGAGTATAACGAAGATTTCAGTTTATGAAGATACTTGTGGATTTCAAAGTATATTATGCCAGTCGATCTTTGTTTTTCAGTGTTGAGGGCTGGCCCTGAAAGAGATTAGATTGTATACCCCTAATTCCGTAAAAGTGAAAGAACATTCATATTCACCTAGTTATAGTCAGTGAAGCAGTTGATCACCTGATTGCCTGAAGATTGCTTGTTCACCTGATTACAACATTTTGAAGCATTCAAAATCTTGGAATCGTGAACCTACCGCTGTTAATTTTCTGTCAACGCTACTAAACAACTGCACATTGCTAGAAAAGAAAAACTTTTGTAATTGATATATTAGGACATTTGCCTAACCAAACAATAAGGTGTTATACACTCATGCTTGATGATATATTTGCAAACATAGCTCTCATTCGACGTTATAATTAACTATTTGGGTTAACTTTAGAGTTATGATATTTTGAACATAACCTTACATAATCTTAAACATAAATATTTGGGAAATAATTAATCTTTGCGTATCTCAAAAACTAATTGAGATATCATTATGAAATAAAAAGCAATTTAAAGCAAATTTATGTAATAATTAATACTTTGAACATCAATTCTTGGAATTTTCAAATTTCGGGGTTATGATATTTTGAACACAACCTTGCATAATCTTAAACTTAAAAGTTAGGCGAATTAATCTTTGTGTATCTCAAAAACTAATTGAGATATCATTATGAAATAAAAAGCAATTTAAAGCAAATTTATTTTGTAATTAATACTTTGAACCTCAATTCTTGGAATCTTCAAATTTCAGAGTTATGATTTTTGAATGCAACCTTGCATAATCTTAAACATAAATGTTAGGATAATCAGTCTTTACGTATCTTCAAAACTAATTGAGGTATCGTTATGAGATAAAAACCAATTTGAAGTAAATTTATTTAATATTTAATGGTTTGAAGATCATTTCTTGGAGTTTTCAAATTTTGGAGGTGTGATTTTTTGAACGCAACCTTGCATAACTTTAAACTTAAGTGTTATTATAATTAATCTTTGCGTATCTCAAAAACGAACTGAGATATCTTTCTTAATCTTTGTGATATCTATACTTTTATAATTTTTCAAGAAAATCTTAAACAATAGTATTAGATAAGAATTTTGAAGTAGTAGATGTATTTAATGGTAAAAAAGTTTGTTGGGGATGTGTGACTTTTGACTGTACCTAATGAAAATATTTATCGGACCTTTCAACGAACAGCATCTCCAACGCGGGAAGAAAACAAACGTAACCTCTTTTTACGCCCGTCAAACGAAAACAAATATTTGGCTTTGGCCCTGTGAACCTTCCGACCCCCGTTCGTTGTTGTTTAACACCGTGGCTATTTTCATTTCGGACGTGAACAACGCTGAAATTGATTGAACGTCTGTTTGGAATTTAAAAAATTTTCAGTTTAACAAAAAACCTTTCGTACAACCAAATAAAAGCACGAGTTAAATCCTGAAAATAGAAAGTGTTAAAATCAACCTTCAATTTTATCTAGAAACTTATTCCCCTCACATTACCTTGAAGATAAAATAAATAGATCACATATTTTACTTAAATCGTGCTAGATACAACATAAATGTACTGATAAATCAGATAACTTAGATTCTTATAAAGATTTTGATTTCTTTGCGTCTGTTTATTAAGTCATATTTTCAACGTGATTTAGTGATAAATCGCGGTAATAAAAGGTACGAGTTATGAACGTAATTTCAAAAGCTTTCGACCGGATTTATACGCTTGGTTCTTTGAAACGCTTGCACTTAACGTCACTCACGGCGATTCATAAACAACAAAACTCGGTTCATCAATCGCGACACCGCACTACATTGTGCTAAATTTAACGGGCGGCAACGCGTCCCGTCAAGTAATAAAGAGAACCTCGCATCCTGTCGATACGCTACGAACCGCGACAGCTTTGTTTCACCCCCTTCAAAGCCGAGATTCGTTTCGAAGGCCACTCACTTGTACTCTCTCTATAAATATAAATTTTATGAAACGCGAGCACGCTGCTAGAACGCAACGTGCGTTGTTTACAATTGTAAGCTCGATTTCAGCTTTACTGTTTATCCGAACTTGAATCTCCTCGACTAAACCGTGTTGTACAAGATCTTTCGACAGCCGATTTAAAAACCTCTTTCGGTTGTTTAAAGTGAAAAGTGACAGTTTAGAATTTTAAAGTTATCAGTAAAAACACTTACTATAAAATGTCAGCTGTAACGAAATTATGAACGACATAAATAGTAGTTATAATATCATCATATTTAGTTATCCATAGTAAGTTAAAGAATAAAAGAGGGATGAATGGAGAGTTTGTGAGAGAATTCGATGAGTCGTACGGTTAAATATGTGTCCAAGTTCCTCTTTATCGAGTGTGTTTGTATAGAACGCGGCATTCCAGTGGAGAACATCGAAGATAAACGGCCGAAGCAATTGCCCACCATAAATCAGTTGTCGGCAGATAAGGAAGGTCGCACAATGATCGCCACTTATGCTTCTTGCCGTTGGACGTTTCTTTTTGGATCGCGTTCACTTCTTGGAGGTCAACAGCGGACCTGTTCTTCTTGATTCCGAGAAGCAAAATATTCTGGTACGGAATCACTATTACGATTATCAGTTCTCGTTAATACATTTTATTTGTTTTTAAGTTTCAATCTCTAAATGAAGGCTTTATATACAATGCTAAATAAGGAATCGGCTCAGTAACGAATCTCGAGAGTTTAAAATTGACGTTGAAAGGTACGCTCTTGTAAACCTCGTTAGTGAGATGTAATTTTTCTTAAAACCTCGTTACCATTGCGCATTTAAAATGAACCAGGCAAACAAAGGCACCTATTGCCATATGTCACCGCGGTTAATGCATTGTCACACCGGCTGACCAAATATGTTCCTCCTCTGGCAGGTAATTCATAGCATTTTCTCTCCGGGTGCCCATGCATAACATGCATGTGGAAGTAGAGAGGAAACGCATAATTTATCTGACAACCGAAGTTTATCATTGTCTCACTCCCGGACCTTGGTAATCGAATCGTGAAGTTGGGAATTTCGACCACCGTCGAACGAACACCACCTGTAAGCTCTCTAATTGGTAAACATTGTTCTTCACCCAAAAAACTTACCATTTATTCTCAGCTACTGTTTGTCTATGCTTTTTTTTTCGTCCCATGGGAACTGTATAACGTAATAGGTGAGGATGTAATAATTAATTTGGATTTTTCTCAGACTATAATTTTTAATTAGTTTCTTACTTCAATGGTAAACACCTTGGATTGTATTTCTCTTTTTTTTGACAACCAAACCTTCTTTATTGCAGAGTTATAGGTTACAACTCTCTCGGTACCTATAATTAATCTTGGATAGCTCACGATCTCTTGAGAAATTACAGATAAACTATCGAAGGATTGCAGATAATGATCTGGTGGGTGCAACGCCATCTAAGATCCAGTTATATTCGCGTTCAAACGTGAAATTCAGAGTTGTATCTAGGTTCACATTATAACTACGTTAAAACGTACTATTAATACTATCTATTTAATACATAAATATATTTAAATGTAAATGTTAGCGCTCATAGATAGAATCCAACTCGGGTTATTCCACAAGTTGGTCTAATTTATGTTCATAGATAAATTTGGGGTATTCCCTAAGTTGCCTATGCAATTTATAAATCAAGGATGGTAAAGTTATTCAGTGTGAGATTGTTGTATACTTTGCATTGAAATAAAACTAAACCTAGAACTAGAAAGTTTCGGGTTTACCCGTGCGTCTTCAGGGTAAATATATTAGTCCATTACATCGAGATTTTACTGTATTTACATTTATATACAGAAATGAATAAAAAGTACTATTAACAATACTTTCTACTACGTACGGTTGAGCACTTGAGTTATTTCAGTTTGTACGGTAAACGTGCATTTAATTATATGCGAGGATTAAGGATAAATAAGTAATTTCGCTTTAATGAAAACGGGAAAACGTAAAGATAACATGGCTCCTTATAAATCTGTCATGATACGAGAAAGGTGGGGAACGAACGACAGCAGGGAGCCAATGATATAATGAGCTTATTCTACAAACGAGATGACTAATGAGCGTTAATTAAAGCTATTAAATTCGGTGTGATTTTTCATCGATTTTAACTGGTCTATTAATTAAAATATTGTTAGGAATAATTATTAAAAATTCACAAACCTTTATATTCGTGCAAGAAATCCGGATGTTTTCGTATGGGAAAGGAAGTAAACGTTAAATTAGGTGTGACAGGGCTTCCCTTGCGCCCTTAGCTCTATCGGTGGATCCGGGTAGTCACCGCTGTCGCTAAAAATCACGTGAAGTGTGTGCGCTGTGCTCTTAGCTACGTGCTGTACATGTCAGCGTAATTTATGGGGGTGTGGAGGGTGACTTCGTCTCGTTATTTAAGAGGGGACGGGGAAGAAATACTGTTCTAACCTTTTCAGGGGTTTAACGGTAGCTATGAAGGTTTTAACGTTAAAGAGAATCACAAAAATATTTTGGTTTCCATGAAGATATAAAAATTTAAACATTCTTGTGGACACAGATACCAATGCGACCTAACTAAACATATCAGAATTTGTTTTAACACTATAAAACTCGGTATTCGTGTACGGTTCGGACAAATACAATAAAAACTGGGAGACGAATACCTTTTAAAAGTGCATCGAAGCCATCTCGAGACGTTTACCTTTATCCAACTAATAGCCCCTTTAGACAGTCAGCCGGTCTGTAACCCTGACGTGTTTGTCTTCTACCTGAGTTGACCCCGATAATAACATATAAGCTCGGTCGGCTTTCGGTGGATCTTCATCAATGCCATCTAATGGATGTTTCGAGCCGTATTAATACGTCGTTTTCAATCCCCATAGGCCCATCGTGTTCTACCTACCCATGAAGTCAATGTGGTTGCCCTTATTGAAACCGATTTCCAATAGACGGTACAGGATCCTAACACGGCTAAAGAGTGAAGCACGTATACGATTCAATCAGTATACGTTGTCGCATTGTATAGAGGCAAAGGCATGTTGTAAATGGTAGACCGCCAAAGCACTCGGATTTCGGTTAATTTGTGTTTGAATGAAAGTTATGCGCATTACAACACAATGGTTTGAAGCTACGTTGCAAACTCCATGATACAATAGAATTTGCTTAAAATAAACATAATCAGATTTGCAGGTTGACATTGGAATTCTAATTAATACGCAAATATAACTTACGAGTATTTAAAAAAATAAAATCATTAAGTATAAAGGATCTTCATATAAAAGAGGCATTGCAAAGTCGGCATCTATAAAGCTAGTTAGCAAGAGGTTAATGTTGTAATATATCGTAATCAAACAAACGTAATTCGTTTAACTTTTTTATTCTTGTAAATAATCAACAAGCATTTCGAAATATTTTCTTCGGAGTAAGAATTCGAAATTAAAAGCCAACTCTATACCCGGCAACCGTGTGGCTCTTAAAATAAATCGAGAAGTGCTGCCGCAAATCCGACCTTGAACTTAAGAAAGCAAGATCCAGGGATGTCTTCAGGCAATTAACCAGAAATATTCTTGAGGTGCAAAACTATTTTATCTATTTATAAATTCTATGGCAATTTTTATGTTTAATTAAATATAAATAATTGTAAATTTAAATACACAAAGAACGATTATGAAGAGAACAACATAGATATTGAAGTGAATTTAATAAAAACATATAGCTGTGATTGCCTTTTTAATAATCATCAGTTCACGCGATGAGTCATTTAGTTTTCTGTTACAAATCTTCTACATAAGGCCTGTTTTAGTTCAAGAGTTATGCAATTCAGAACTACAGAACTCTTGAACCAAAACAGACCTATAGTCATTCTCCCAACATCTTCGAAAATGTTATGTGAAAAACCACGTGCTATTGATGTATCAATTGACGCAATTGGAAGATTAGGAAATAAACTTTCGACACTATATCTTCAACAAGAATATGACTAGAGGCAGATACGTCCCTATTTTCACATTTTAATAATTCTGAATCACAATGAAGAAAACCAGATTTAAACAAATTATCACTGATTAGAGCTTTTTTGTAACGGCTTCGAGAAAGGGGTGCCTTCACGTTGAAGAAATGGATGTTGCCAACAGTATCGTCTGGGACAACTGCAACCATACCACCTCCAAAAAATACATTCATTATTGCCAGCCGATTATGCACCACGCGTTGAGTTCTGTACGTGGTTTCTGCATTGAGAGTTCTCTTCACAGATGAATATCATTTTACTAAGGATTGTGTTCTCAATTCTCCAAACAACCATGTCTGGGCAGACAAAAACCTTCATGCCACGAGATTTGTTATCAATGTGTGGGTGGGTACATATTCTAAATGGTCATGCGATTGAACCGTACATTTTTCCATCCAGACTAACTTACTTGATCTTTCTATAACAAGTATTGGACGTGTTGTTGGATGCTGTGCCATTGAACGTCTTTCGGATTTCAACGTGCGCCCTTTGTAGCACGTGAACGGTACATTTCCGGACTTGGGTTCAATTCAAAATATTATCGTCTCAGTCCCTTTTACAAGTCCTAGAAGTTTGTAAGTGGAATTCTAGAGCACTATGCATACGAATTGGATTTGTTTTTTAACGTAAAATAAAACAAAAATATTTACACATACTACTTTTCCCTATAACTTATGAAAACAATCCCGATTTTTCATTTTCCTAATCTGTGTGCTTACCACAGATTAGATATAATATATTGTTATATTACGCTTGAAATGCCCTCTTTTAGTATAAACTCAACTTTTCCTTTAAAACTACAAACATTATTTTTTATCACTACACCATATAATATTATTCAAGTTTTAATGGCAAAACTGTGTTTCAACAAGTGACTAAATTAGCAATTTATATAAAACCAAGTACATAAATTTTCATTAAAGCCCAGCTCTACGCCTTAGCTTTACTAACAGTTACTTCTGCAATAAATTGTGTTATTTATAAAAATCGCTTTAATTGAATATCTTATTACAAGTTACTTTTTATTTTTGTGATCAGATATTCCATTCAATTTGATTTTGCTATCTTCCAATTCTTTTTTGGTCTGTTCCCAGTACATTTTGACGGTATCTAATTCGATCTCGAATTGCTTCTTCTCGGCTTTCCTTTTTTCGCCCTCCTCTTTCAAGCGTTGAACAAATTTTTCCAATTCCGCTCGTTTTAATTTTGATATATCTACACCATCTACAAATCGACCGATTGGCGAAATGCTCTTCTTTGATCCATTATTTTTCGATGACATAACTTAAAAGACAATTTCACTTTCGTTAATATGACAAAGCAATTGTTAAAAAATTGTTATTTTTTTACCCTCACTTTCTTGATATTTTTCCTTCCACCAGGAATCGTTACCATATTCTAAAATACGTTCTTAGTTTGGTCATTGCGATTTGAAATATTAACGTTACAATTTGAGGTGTTATCCGGGTCGAAATAATAAGTATTTTGTTGCATAGAAACATTGGAATTTAATAAAAATAATATTTAATTTAATAAATATTAATAATATTCATAAATAAAAATTGAATTTGTCAAAAATGTATCTCTGGTTTAATTAGAAGGAATATGTCATCAAGACCCCCTGAATAAGCTGATTATAACTAGCTCTCTGCGGTCGTTATTTTCCTTTTAGGCACTGCATTCGTTTTGTTAAACGCCTCCCGCATGACAGATTTGCAAGCGCCGAGTTACGCGCACGCAGCACGTTCGCTTGTATTCATTAGCTGTACCGTTGAGGGTTTATTAATTCTCGCTCCGTTGATGGGTTAATGGATGTACGTTAAAAGACGTTGAAAAACGTCCCTGCGCGACCAACCATTCGCCGTTGCTCGCCTCAACGAAAGAACAACCTCAAAGAAAACCAACGACCGACACGATGCCGTGGAACGATCATCGTCTTGATGAATCCGAGTGGTATCACGTATAACGCGCATTCCATATCCCTCATTAAATATTAATTAGGAGGGGAAGACTTGAACTCAAAAGAGAAATAGATGTGCACTAATGCCTTATTTATGCATTTCTAAGCTATTGCTACATTCGCACGTTCGTTTCTAGTGTTATGATCAAACATTTTGTGGCAATCATATTCGTATTAAGTACAACATTTATTTGTACATCATAATCCAAATCCGTGTATATAAAAGATCGAGGTTCTCTTTAAATAATTTTGTATTACTACATCTTAGACGGATTGTTGTAGCATTATTGTGCTAATGATTTAACAGTTTTTAGACAAAGACTATATTTGAAGTAAATGTGACATTAATGAGGGTAATATCTTTTCTTCAATACTATCTTAATTTTTTCACTATCAGCTATTTTATTTCTATCTCTTTTTGGGAAATCTCATCTCTTAGAGGATATGTGGTGCTTCAATATCTGAATTCAAGCAGTAATTTGTTACAAAAATTATTCAGAATGTATGTAGTTGCAATAACATTACAGTTATATAAAATTAAAAAGTTAAAAGTATAAAAAATTTAAAAAAATTACAAACCTCCTTGCCTGTACAGTAAAATGTTATATTAATATGGAATTATTCGACGCGGAATTAATTGTTAATGGGTACATTTTAAGAGAGAAATGTAAAATTGAGAAAGAGCGGAAAATTCTCTTTGCTTTGAAAAAGCATTGCTGTCAACAAAGCTAGCAAATGGCTACATCTCTACGGCAGTAATGGTTATCTTGGAAAAATAGGAAACTATATTCTGGTTTCGTTTCAATATGGCCACAATATAACCAAGACATTTCTGAAAATTTTTATCACAATAAAAACTTCCAAGCTCGTTTTGCCCAGAACACATTAAGTAACATCCTAAATAATGACCTTGTTTCCCTAAGACATTAGAAATAAATCTTGACAGTTTTCGCATGCACTACTTATTGATTTCTACAGCAGGGTCACATTGTATTTTTATTGAAGAAGAGGTTGTCTAAGGCCAAGGCGCTACAACTGACATCTTCAACACTAATTACATAAAAAAAACATTGATGTTTCAGAAACGTTTCAGAAAAATCAAATTTCATATTGATTATCAGATCCCTAATTATTGTTGTTATAATCTCCGTATTAAGAAAAATTTACTTTATATATTTAACATTTATCTTATCCCCAACATAATTCTTTGAAAATAATGACTCCATAAATGTTAACGATTTCTCCCTGTTTTCATATCGTTTCTCACATGGACGGACTTGCGCATCTTTGTTTGTGTTTCCTTTCGTTTAGGGACCGGCTTTGTATGTGCAAAATATTTCAGGAGACACAAGGGGTTCGCTTCCCAAACGGAAGAGATATACGTAGGTAGGGTGAAAGAATGTCACATTTTACCGAACCCGATCACGTACTAATGCCGAGGCGGTTCTGTTTCGCCATCGCCGAAACGATCGATGAGTTTTATCTTCGCCAGACACGGCCGGAGGAACGAATAAATTGTCGAAAGACGTAAATGCCAAATTTACGGGAATATCGTAACGGCGCATTTTCCGCTATCGCCTTTTTCGCTCTTTTCTTTAGTCATTGGCCGGCGGTAATGGAGAGAATTACCCGAGATGAGGTTGAAGAGATATTGGTTTAACCTCGATTAGCTCGTTTAGGTAAATGGTAATGGACGAAGACGGTTTGAATCTTTGGGTGGTTTAGATAAGTTTTAATGAGAAAATAAAATTAGAAGAAAATTAAATTGGTTACCTAAATGAAATCGTACTTGGAAATAATGCCGATTGTCATTTTCGGTCGCTCATTTAACACTGGATCGTAATCAGATTTTGGTGAAGAGGAAAGCAATTGGAATTCAAACACTTCAGGACGGTCGAGCGTTCGTGATCCAGGAACCCGAGTTCGGAACAATTAGATTTAATCAGTGCTCGACTACGATACTCCCTTGTCCCTGTATGGAGTGTAAATGGAAGAGATTCCAACGAATCGACATTCGGTTGGTTCTATTCCGAACATTTCCCGTATTCCTACTTTGAAACTTTCCCTTGTGTTAGTTTTCCAAGCGGACAATCGGGACTGAAGTAAAACAACCCTGCGCAAAAAAAAGGTTTGGACGTAGTTGGAAGGGGTCGGATTCAAAATATCCGTGAGTCACCGAGAGGGCCTTTATCGCCAGATTAGGCACCCTTAGTTTTCGTTGAATGCGATCGAAAACGGCGCCTACCCCTCGGGACAAGTTTAGGTTGATGAAACTTGGGATTGGAAAAATAAACGACCAGCTTAAACTGTACCGTTAAAGCATCGATATTTTAGACTTTTATTTGTTCTTTTTAGAATTTTATTCGCTAGTTAATTAGAAGAAAACAGATTTATCTGCTTAAGAAATACATAAGAAACGCGGAAGCTTGTATATACAAGTTTCGTTGAATACACTGTACTATAATCGTTAAGTAATTGAACGTTCACTAGACGGTTAATTGCCTTTAATGCTGACTTGATCGATCTACTCGAAGACGCGTGGATAAAATTACAAATGTTTCTGCTACGAGTGTAGCTCTTGGATGGCATTCTATGCCTTTTTCAAATTCTTTCAGCAATTTTTAAATAATGAGAATTACTTCTAATTAATTTCAACATAAAAAAAACATCATGTTATCTTGTAATTCGATTTAAAAAAATTTTTACTGTTATTAATTATCGATTTTCCCCGTATAATCCTATCAAAAGTTAATCCTATAGGAACTAATCTACCATTCTATACGCGTCCACAGAACCGAATACGTTTTATATTAGACCACCCGTCGCTAGTTATTGCAACATTTCGATTCGCCCTTCGACAAACCAATGTAAATATTCGATTACCTCGATGAAATTGTAACAGATGTCTGACGGGCGAGACGTAGTTCGGGGTCGAATTGCCTAAGGGCAAACGGCGAAGGGTGAAGGGTTAGGCATCGTGTATAACCCTTTCGACAAGGCTGCTGCCACTTAGGCCCCCTTAGGCGATCACCTGGGGCTGGAACGCATCGTTCCTAATAACATCAACACAATACAGACGTGGTAATTTCTAATAACTCAAGGGGGACCCGAAACGAGACGATAACGTAGGGAGTTGATGATGAGACTACTCAGATTCTAGAGAGGAAGTGCACCATTATTAGCATCGCTGCCTATACGTGCCTTCAGGCTACTTTCTGTACTCTGCGTTACCGTTCGATCGAACTCCGGATGGGTAAAAGGAAGTTTCAATTTATTTGTAACTGTTATAATAACTTCAAACAAGTTGTTTGTGTATATATACAACAATCTTGTATTATAATGACAAAATTTCCTACTGTCGGAGGTAATTCCATACATACATGTATTATAATGAAGTGAACGTTGATAATAATTGGTTGTTAAAGTCGATAATAGGTGTCTATCAGGTACAAAGAAATGTAAAAAAATATAACTGCCGCAGCGATCCGATGTAATCTTCGTAATAGCTAGTCTAGAACAACAGCCTTTCCCCCCACAATACACCACATCCAAACAACAACAATACACGCCACGCATCGTGCCATTCGGTAAACAGCTGCGGGATGTATAGAAAGGGACCACCCCCGTTTGCCCTCAGGGACCAGACGAGGTTAAGGTAGGACCTAATCAAACTAACGCAGGGGCTCATACAGCGTTGACGCAACGGTTAAACACATCGTACGGATCTGATTTTATCGATAAGTAATTTAAAAACAGAATCAATGTGTTACATTTAACACCTATCACAAAAAACAATCATGGCATAATTATAACATATTTTAATTTAAACGAATTTCAATGAAATACAACTTTTATTAAATCATATTTATTTTATTAAATATTATCGAATGATGTCCAATTGTAAAACGGGAATTATTTCATTTAAAATTAATATGATTGGGAATATAAATTTAATATTAGCCGCGGTTTATTATTTAAAAATTATTGCAAGAAATCAATTGTAACAGATTTCAGGGGATTTAATGGGAATAAATAATTAATAATGTATATATTTTCAATATTGCAACTTTAACTTTTAACGTACTTCTTTTTTGTTGCGATTTTTATTTTATTATTTCTTTAGAATTTTAATCTTTTTCCTTTCGTAGAGCTTTTTGTGAACACACTGTTAGTAAATATAAGATATCTTATGAAAATTTGCTTATCCAATTCTCATTCAATGTGCTGTATTAACAAACTGCACATCTTTGATCGGTCTTACTCTGGATGAATAGTGGTCGCTAAACTTTCCGTTTTAATAATGTAGCTTACATGAATATAGCTAGTTTTATCAGGATCGATATGTCAAGAAATGACACTTCCTGATATAGATGCGTAAGCTAGTTGTTCTTTAGAAAATGTTTCTTGCATACCTAATTGTATTGGTACGTTCAGGCAGTGCAGTATCAATAAGCTTAACATAAAACACATATTCAGGCCATCCTCAATTTTTCAACTAAATTTCTTTGCAAATCTCAATATTTATGGCACCAA